TAGAATGAATTAAGGAAAGACAGACCAAGCTAGTGGTTTCAGTGGCACACTATTTTTCCCTTTGGGGTTGGGAGCTGAGAGATAAACAAATTTAAATGAATACTGAAAACGTCTACAGAAATAACCTCTTGCTTCATGCGGCAAGAATTCCTTGTAGAGGGTCCTGTACTATCAGGATAGTTGCATTTTTAAAAATATGTATAAGTGTTATACCTGCATGTGTGTAAATGCACCTGTGTTGTGCAGTGTCCCCAGAAGAAAGAAGAAGGTTTCAGATCTCCTGGAACTGGATGGGTGCAGGGCCACTATGTGGGTGCTGGCATTCGAACCCAGTTCTTCTGCAAGAACCACCAGTGCTCTCTTAACTGCTGAGCCATCTCTCCAGGCCCAGGATATTTACATTTTTACAACTATGTTTCAGTGGAAAACTATGTCTCATTCTGAATTTTTTGGAGAGAAATTTATTAAAATTCTATCATTTTTAAATGTAATATAAAAGTTCTTCCTTTACTCAGAAGTACTAGTAAATGTTAGGCTTTCATTTCTCATTTTCCTATCTCTTTCCCCTCCCTTCTTCCCCTCTCTTTCTCTGTCCTTCCTCTGTCCCTCTTTATTTCTTTCTAGACAGGTTCACTGTAGCTAAAGTTACTGTAAAATTCAAAATCCTCCTATTTCAGTCTCTGCAGGGCTAAATGTTGCAGACTTGCACCACCATGCCTAGCAGACATGAATTCTTAATACTAGCACTTGGGGAGTTGTTTTTAGCAAATGTTTCTGAGGTATATTGCTTTTTCCATGAAAGACTTAAAATTTTGAGTTTGTTGACTGATTCCTGGAAAATTCAAGACAACTGGAAGAAAGATATTAATGTAAACCTAATCATAGATGACCTATTACATAGTGTATAGATTTCTGCCACATAGTGATAGGACAATCGGATGCCTGAACTACTAAAATAATAAATCGTCTCTAAGGTTTAATAAGCTACTTTCACATTTCTCAAAGTTTCAAAGAGATGGGCTGTTATTAGTTGGAATAATTATGGGAAAAACAGGATTCAAAGGAATAAAAGTAAACTGATCTTCCTATATTAATTCTGATAAATAATCTTATTTAGGGAAAGAATCAAAAATGATTTAAAGCTTGGAGCATATCTCAGAAATAAGAGAATTGGCCTAGCATGTGCAAAGCCCTGGGTATAACCTTAGCAAGAGACACACATACACACATACACACACACACACACACACACACATACACTCTAAAAGTAAATAGAGCAATGATCTTTTCAAAACCTCCTAATTATACTGACAATGATCTTACAACTTCATTTCATATAGTAGTAGTTACGTTTTGCAATTATAAACAATATTTTTGCAAATAAAGATTTAGAAATACAGAAAAATACCAAGAACAAAATGATTCTCTTTCTCAGATATATATATATATCTATAATATTTTGTATGTTCTTTCAGACATCATAGATTTATATCTATAGCTTATTAAAATTGGGTTCATATTTTCCTTATCATGTTTTATATTTATTAGTAACATAGTTCTTGAATATGTTGGTTATACCCTTCAAAGTCACCGACATATGAATACTGTCTGTTCTAATACAGGTTTTTACGTGTTCACCTATTAACACTTCTCAAACTTTTCTGTCATGCACCTACAAATCTTGGGGAAGGGTGTCTGCACTAGCAGTATAGCAGTAAAAGATCAATATTTCTTTAAAGCTTTTGAGAACTATGACTTTGCCATTACACTCAAAATTACAATTTTGTTTATTTCAATTGTTATATGTTTTATTTATGTTTTCTCTCCAAATCTTCAAACGAACCCTTCGCGGCTGTACCAGGTCTATTGGGTGGGACTGCACACATGGTAGCACGTCAGTGTGGGGTTTGCACACACGCCCTTCAGAAGCACTAGCTGAATTCACGGATTTCTAAAAACATATGACCAAATCAGTGATAACTACATGTGAACAGAGACCCCAGAATATGTGGGAATGTGCCTGGGTGGCACATGCATTATGTAATGTGACAGAGACGACCCTCGAGGTTTCGTAGGAAAGGTCTTGGGTGTTTCTAATCTAATGGTGATAAAGTCTATTATATATTTGGAAAGAATCATCACTGCATCAGTGTCAGTGATGCTATTTAATGCTCAATAGTATTAATTTCAATAAATAATTTTTAGAAGATTTATAAACGATAATTGTTATTATTTGAATAATAGCAACTTGTGTGTCAAATTTCCTAGTTTCTTCATTAAGTTCAATATTTGAATTACAAAAGATTTTTTTTACTCCTGAAGTCCTCAAAATTAGTGTAATACACACACACACAGAAACACAAACGCAGAGAAAACCACACAGCGACATACACAGATAGACACACAGACACAATCACACACACAGACACATAAACAAACAGATACAGACTCACACAGACAGGCACACAGGCAGAAAGACACAAGGACACATGCAGACACATACATAGAGACGGACACACACACATACAGACATCTTCCACTCATTCTTAGCTCTTGTATTCTACCTATGTAGTGAGATTGTCAGATAACACTTTGATGGAACAGCTGCTGGAGATTTTCAGAAAGAAAATGACTAAGTTACACATTTACTCCTGAGTGATGTTTTCTTCAAAAAAGTTGATATGAAAAATTATTTTACAATTGGAGCTGAAAACAAAATTAAAGGAGTCTGTTAAGAGGAGCTGCATTTCTTATGGCAATAACATCTGTAAAGGCAAGGAAAACAAAGGAGACACAGACAGACAAGGCCAGGGAACGGGGACCACGTGCCCAAAAAGGGTTCTCAATCTACATAAACCAGCAACATTCAAATAAAAATCACACAGTTGTATGTCCTCAACTTTGAAGATGGATACGGCCATTGTGGCAGAATGTGGGACTGAATGACAGTGTCTGTTCTACAGCAGCTGATCAATGTACTTATCAATAGAACAATAACGAAATATGATAATAAGATGCGACCATGAAAGTGGAATGTTGAACAGCACTGAAGGTGTTAGGGTCTGTGACTCGGTGGGTCTCTTCTGGAGAACAAATGCATGAGTATGGAGATGCAAAAAATCAAGCAGAGTTTTATTAAACCAGCTAGCTGGGGCCGACCGTCCTTTCAAGACACGCAGGTCTGGTTAGAGCGATCGACCTGAGGCAATTTCAGGTAAAGATTATATAGGCTCCCACAACCATTACACAAAAGCCCGCGTTTATACAACCAATAGTTTCAAAGCAAGCATTTCACAAACCAATAACTTCAAGAAAAATGTTACAGCTCCCTTCAGGTGTCCCAATCGGGGAGGGATGGGTGGTATGTGCGTGGCACAGCCCTTCCTTGTTATCTTGTGTAAGCAGACATGCCTACAGACATGACACAGACCAGACAGGTCAGGTTACAGGGGCTGCAGCACTTGCCCCTATCTCCAGATGCCTGTGTCTCCAGTTGAGCTAATTGGTTACAAGCAGTAAACTCAGACAAGCAGTAAATTCAAACAAGCAGTAAAATTTCTCTTTCCCTGACAAAGGAAGTGATGAGGACCAAAAGGGTGACTGCTTTCCAAGGATAGTGTCACTTGGATGGTAAGACTGCCCAGGAATTGGTATCTAGAGGGAAACCAAGAGGTAGTTACAAGCACACACTTTTTTTCTTCTTATATTTTCATGTATGTGTGTGGGACTGTGATGTGTGTGCATGTGTGCATGTGCGTGTGTGTGTGTGTGTGTTTTGTATGTATGGGTGCACGCAACTGCACATACATTTAGAGACCCAAAACTAATGTGGGGAATCCTTAAAGGACAGGGACACTCAATCAAACCCAAAGTTCACCCCTTTGGCTAGTCTTGCTAGCCAGTTTGCTGATGGAACTGCACACAAGCCACCATTTATATGAGTTCTAGGGATCTGAACTTCTGTTCTCATGTTCAGCTCAAGAACACACTTTTAAAAGAAACATTAAGTAGCTTAGAAAGACATGACTTGCGGGGGCCTGAGGCCAGGAGCGAGGCAGGATGGCGCCTGGAGGAAACGGCCCGGAACATGGCCAGACTTGTTTTGAAGAATCGCTAATTGGCTCTTGTCATTTCCGTGCATCTTGGCAGCGAGATCACCTCGTGAACGCTATGCTGTGCTATGGAGAGGAGACTGCATGCTCAAGTTGACCTTTAACATGATTGGATACTTGGTTGGGGAGGGGGTTTTCCTTTGTGGTTTTTGCCTTCATAAGCCCTGTAACACCTGCAATAAACGAGTTCCTGCTTGACTGGCTCCCTGTCGCATCTGATTGTCTCCCGGGGAGGCTGCGGGTAATGGGCAGACAGCTCACCTCCCTTTCCCTGGCTCCTGTGTCGGGGCAGGACCCCGACAATGACTGAACTGTCTAATAATGAAAAATTGAAGACTTATAGAGAAGAAAAAGCCCCACTTAAGTGGAGACATCCGAAATAGCAGAAACTCGGGTACCAGTTAATGGGATGATACCGTACAGAGGTTCAGGACAGAGCTTGTGTTTTCCTGCTGAAATCCAGAGAGTACTCTAGATTGTGCAGTGCAAATGGGAAGAAGGGGACAACCCATGACATGGAAAGAAAGGCTAATGTGAGTGGAGAAGACAGTCTGGAGGAGAACAGGACCAGGGGAACTTTGTGTTTGGCAGTTAAGGTGAGCTCTGGAATAGGAAGCTAGACAATAAAGCTGTCTTAGCAGAAATCCATTTCCTCAGACATTCGAAAATGATTTTGGTGCAATATTAATTTGCTGCCAAGAAGTCATGAAAATTACATAGCAAAGTTCATGGGCAGGGAGATGTTACTTCTTAATATATACACATATCTTCATCACATAGGAATAAGGCTTGACTTGAAACTAAATGTAATTCTTTCCAATGTCCCAATCACTCTATATTTTAAAATGAAGATAATGTTTATTCCCATTTTCTGGAAAAATTACTCACCTGCAGATGCACACTCAGGGGTGAAAGTGATGTCATCAAGGGCAATGGAGCCATCCTTTCCACCCAAGTCAGCTTCGAATGCCACCTTGAATGGGCTGTGACTAGAGAGAGTCACATGTCCGTAGGTCCATCCAGTGTTTTTAGTTTGGATCGTGGACCACAGCAGGATATTTAGTCCTGACTCCTCAATGATATATACCTAAAAACAATAGTCAGAAAAAAGAAAAACTTTTTATGATTGGATGTTACTGTTATTTTGGCATCCAAGTGGTTGTTTAGTGAAGAATGAAGTTTTTAGCCATGTGACAGCTCAAACATTGACTCTAGTAAATTTTTTCTTTAGAAATAGAGATTTCTTTTTGGAGATGGAGTCTTCCTGTAGCCCCAGATGGCCTTGAATTTGTTATGTAGATCAGACTGGCCTTGATCTCACAGATATCTACCTGTCTCTGCTGGGATTAAAGGTGTATTCCTCCATGTCCAGTCCTAAAAACTGTAGATTTTAAGGCAAGCAGAGAGATGTTATATTTTATTTGGTTTTTGTCATACACATTTCATTTGCTGAAAAACGTGATCCAAAATATAACCCTTGTATATTGATTTAGTTTCTGACAACTTGGCACACATTTAAGATGTACCTTGGAATAGGAAATCATAATTGAAAATTTTCCTCCATCAGATTAGCCTGTGGGTATGTGTAGGAGGAGCCCAATGTGGGAGGAGCCATCCCTGGGTTGTTGTATAATAGATTTCCTGAGCAAGCTGGCGGAAGCAAGCCAGGAAGCAACATTCCTTTACAATCTCTGCTTCAGTTCCTACCTCCCAATTCCTGCTTTGGGTTTCAGTCTTGGACTGTAATCCACGGAGATTTTCTGTAGAAGAGGAACCTCAAAATAAATGTGTATGGATTTTATAAGTCATTTTAGAAACCAGAGTAATATATACATAATTTTTACATTTTGATAGACAGAAAATCTCCATGGATTAATCACATTGATATTCAGCACTAAGGAGAGAAGTCTGACAAACGTAATGAGCAAGATATGAAATACAGCTGTATTTATATTTGTGTCACTAGACAGTGAATCAAAGCCTCACACATACTGGGAAATTCTTCAACCACTCCCCACTGGACTAGACCCTTAGCCCAGGGGACTTTTTAAGATTCTCTTTTTATATTCAACATTCAAAGTTATTTTCTTATTTTCTCCACATTTTATCATATTGTGTGTGTGTGTGTGTGTGTATATGTGTGTGTGTGTGTGTGTGTGTCCTATGATGCACACTAATCATCATTTAAATGAACATTTCTTTCACATGGACAAAAGAAGACCCAGAAAGAAATACATGGATAGCAATTCTCTTCTATTGCAACAGTTGTTGTTTGTTTCCTAATGACTTTCTTTACTAGTGAAAAAAGGGGTTCTGTTTCACTTTTTGCTTTGTGTCAAATGCATTTACAGATTATTTACCTTATAAAGTTTTATAAACTTTTTAGAAAGTCAGGAGGTAATAATATCAGTCATCCTGTTAGATATGATGAAATTAAGTTGGCCTTCCAGAAACATTACTAAGAATCACCCAATACTTCAGAGCCACATATTAAATATGCTGTCAATGCCTGTCACTATAAAAAGTCTAAGGTCAAATCAGGAATCAAATTGTTCAATTGGTGTTAGAAAAACAAAATTAAACCAAGGTGTTGGCAGGCTAAAGAATGATTTAAAAACCTTTACCAATCTTTGGAATTGCGAATTGTGAGACAAGCACTATATTCAAATTAAATATTTTTGTAAAAGAAGATAGTGTCCAAGCAGAAACCACCTTTATACTGTTACTGTGTAATGCAATAAGCTAAAATTCAGTGTGAATGGAATCTGCCTCACATGTTACACTCACCCCAGAGAGACTTTGGTTCCATGATTTGATGTGTTCTTAGTTCTTTAAAATAAATACTACACCTATTTTGCATGTGTTTGTGTGTGTGTGTACATACATGTGTGCATGTGCATGTGAGCATGTATGTGCATGCATATGCAAGTGTGTGTATCCGTGCTTCTGGATGTCAAAGGACAGTTTGCAGGAGTTGGTTCTTGTCTTCCACCATGTGTGTCCATGGACTTGAACTCAGGTCATTACTTGGTGCCAGGCGCCTTAGCCATCTGAGCCACCACCTTCGTCCTTGGTTCTTAAGTTCATGAACTACCCAGTCCCACAACACACAGCATTTTTTTGAAGAATAAAAGCAGGTGAACTTTCTAATTCAATTTGGTAAAAGGATCAATATAGACTATCCACTTAAGTACCTATGCTTTTTGCGTAAATCCTGTTTACTTCCCAATGATTTGAAAAGGAATGGCCTTATATTTATTTTTTAATGTCTTTTTGGAGAAAAAAAAACAGTACAGAAGATGAAATTATGTGAACATACAATTTCAGTTCTTTCTGTGTTTCTTACAGACTTTAGTTCGTATTTTTTATTAATGTATCTATTTTTACTTTTTTCCCTCCTGGAATTCAGTCCTTTTAATCTTGAAATAAAGCTGCATGCTTTTGCCACGTCCATTTCCTTCCTCTCCTCACAACTCCATCGTGTCTCCACCCATCACATGCATTAAATTCTTCAGTAAGCTTTAACATATCTAAACCCATCATTTGACCATAATGCTACTCCAAATTAGCCTGGCCAACTTTACTCACTGCTTATTCTAAATAAAATTTTTGACCAAGTTTAAGTTGCAACAACAATAATTAGCATTTCCAATTACCAATCTCTGAAGTTGAACAATAACATACTTACAAGTGTTTCTGTAGTTACATTGGTCAATGAAAAAACGAGTATGATGATTTAAAAACTTCATGTAATGCTATTTGTTTATTATGGATGATTAGAAATGCACGAAAGGCCCAAATCATAAAGAATATTTCTATTTTCCAATGGCGGCAGCACTCAAACTCCATTTAACTTTTTCCTAGAACGTTAACTGAACAGCATGGGGGTCCCAACAGAGAATATTCATGCCTGTGTGTTATGTTTTCTGATTGTTTTAGAGTATATACACAATACCTTCCCCGAAACCTTCTCTTGTCCCTATTCCTGTATTCATTGTATTCTGAGGGGTTACTGCTGCTATAACTGTCTGAAAAAGATTATTCTTAATTACTTAAAAAATCTATTATGCTGAAAAAACAAAATAATTAGAATTCTTCAAAAGTAATTAATTCCAAATTAATTTGTTTCTAATTTTACATATCATTTAGCAAATATTACTGAAAAGTCAGTCGTGCCATAGCAAAGGTTTATTATTTCAAATAGTTTGTAAAGATTAGTTGCCGAATGAATTTAGTTTGCAACTTTAAACTTGTCGAACAGATCGTTTTATCACAATTATGATGAAACACTGGAATAAAAGAATATGCAAATAAAGACAGAAATTACCTTTTCGGCATAAACATATGTTACAGTTGTAAAAGCAGAACTAGAGACCAGATGATCAACTAAGTGTACACAGCACGAAAGCAAAGTCTGATCTGACAAAAGGGGCTTACAAAGCACCATTCCACTCCCCACAAGAATGGAAATCAGGGTGGCGGTTCCTCAAAAAGCTAGAAATAGATCTGCCCCAAGATCCTGCCATGTACCAGTCTGGGGCATACAACCAAAGGGCGGTGTCCTACTACAGAGCTACCTGCTCATCTGTGTCCACTGCTGCCCTTTCACAACAGCCAGGAAATGGAAACAACCTAGATGCCCATCAGCTGGTGAATGGATAATGAAAATATGATACGTTTATACAATGGAATTTTATTTAGGTGTTAATAAAATTAAATTATAAAATTCATAGGCAAAAGGATGGAGCTAGAAACAATTATCCTGCATGAGGTAATCGAGACTCAAAAAGACAAACATCCCATGCTTTCTTTCTCATGGACACTAGCTGTGAATGTTCAGATATGTGTGTTTTAATTGAAAAATCTATAGAAGTCAGGAAACTAGGAAGGGGCCATAGGGTGGACTTCCTGGGAGGGGAGGCAGAATGAAGGGATAAAAAAGGAAAGGTAGAATAATGGAACAGAAAGGGTCAAATGGTGTGTGGGATGGGAGGGCAGGGTAGAGGAGGAAATGTGGGAAGGGATAACTAATAGTTAGGGCCTGTGGAAAAAGCCACATGAAAACTTACTGTAAAAGCTTCCTAAAAATATGTAAATGATTCTATAAAAAAGTCTAACTCTAGTTACCCTACAATGGGAATACAATGCCCCATCATACACAAAAGTCTAGTTAATAAAAAACCCAGAGTAAAGAATGAGCTCCCTTTTTTGAAGCTATTGACAATGGAGTTTCCACAGACCATCAAACAGTACTGGCTACTGCCACTGCTCTTGGTCACCTCCAGAACTTGACAGTAATATCCTATTCCTGAAGACACTACCCACATAGGCCATTAGAACAGGGGAAATCGAGCTTGTACTGAAGTCGAAGCTTCATCTCCACTGGCTAGCCTTCATTGGGTGGAAGGTGCTATGTTTGCTACTGGAAGAGAAACGTCATCATCAATCTCATCCAACCAGGAACCCTGAGAACTAAAAGAAGGACCATGCTGGCAAAGTATGCCCAAGGGTGCAATAGTGGCACAAATGTTGGGAAATAACCAACCACTTTCTAACTAGATCTAAGGCCTGCTTCACAAGATAGAATCCATACCTGGCACTGCTGTAGGGGCCAAGACCCTGTGGTCAGACAGGGCCCAGGCCATAATGGAAAACTTAATACTATTACTCTGCTAAATGAACATAGTATTAAACTAATGACTTAATGTTATACATATAATGTATCTCACAACTCATCAGAGAAGCTTCTTTTTTTTTTGTTTTTTTTTTGTTTTTTAATCATTATTTTTTTATTTTTTTTTTCATACAGAAGAATTCATTCCAAAGCAATTGACATTGAGACGTTTTCACATGCATTTCTAATCTCTATATAAATGACTATTGCTGGTCGTAGTCGCCCACCTTCTGAGCTCCTCGGCATCTGAGCATGAATACAAACTCGTCAGAT